CTTTGCATGATGTTTTCAAGGTTCCCCCATGCTGTAGCGTGCATAAGAACCTCATTGCTTTTTCTGGCTGAATACTATTGCACTGTATAGATGTACTACATTTTATTTGTCCATCCATCCATTGATGAACATCTGGTCGGCTTCCACTTTTTGGCTATTATGAATAATGCTGCTATAAACATTCCTGTACAAGGTTTTGTGTTGACATGTTTTCGGTTCTTTGAGGCATATACCTAGGAGTGGCTTTGCTGGGTCCTATGGTAACTCCCAGGCTGAGGCGAGTTTTTAAAGCAAGAATCCCGTCTGGGGCCAGACCCCCAGTAGGCTTTCAGCCCAGGTTTGCTGTACACTGAAACACAGACAAGCTGCTTCAGGGAGAGGCAGAGTCTTTCTAGAGGGGAGACCAACCAGGGCTCAGCTCAGAGGACGAAACTGTCTTTTGTATTGTTTTCCCGGTACTTCAGGGGGCCAGCATCTTGGGGAAGCAGGTTTGACAGCAGCCTGGGAAGCCTTGCATGGAAGGAAGACTGGGTTGCATGCAATAGGCAGGAGAGAATCAGAGCCAGGTCTTGGGCAGGGCAGGACTTGCAGGAATGAGGAAAATTAGAGGTAGAGAAGGAGACAGTGAGTAGCGTAGAGGGGAAGAACTCAAGCCTTCAATTAAGAGGGTGCATGCAGGGGAGAGGCCAAGGTGAGGCTGGGAGAAGGCTGAGGAAGGTCTGAAAGCCATTTATCTACCCCGATGTCCTTGAGATAAAGGGGTCTCCCGAACTGCCCAAGGTGGTTAGACAGGTCCCCAAGAAACTGGGGGAAAAAAAACACCTAACCTTTTATCTAAATACCCGTTTCTCTTTCCTATCTGGCAAAGCACATACCAATACACCCTGCCAACCAGGTGACTTTGTGTTCTTCTCTTCTCTGAATGGCTCCCTGCTCCTGATAAGCAAGATTTTTACTTATTTATTTGACAGACAGAGAGAGAGAAAGTACAAGCAGGGGGAACGGCAGGCAGAGGGAAAGGGAGAAGCAGACTCCCCACTGAGCAAGGAGCCCGATGTGGGGCTCGATCCCAGGACCCCGGGATCAAAACCTGAGCTGAAGGCAGATGCTTAGCCGACTGAGCCACCCAGGCACCCCAAGCAAGATATTTCTAAGGGAATCCTAGTCCAGATTCTTCTGACCCTAATTGCACTCCTCTCCCCCTTGGCCTGCACATAGTGGTTTCCTTCAAGATCTCTGTCTGTGCTGGAAGCTAGGGGTGGGGGGTGGGGGTGGTAGGGGGGACTGATCCTACCCTGAGCAGAGAGCTTCTGTCCTGTTCTGTCCCACTCTAACATCCAAGGCTGTCCACGCACAGACCCTTCAATGCATGTCCCTATGGAGGAGTCCAGAAACCCTCTTCAGCCCTGGTCCTCAGCCTGGGCCAAGCAGTAGGCAGGACGTGACTTGGGCTGCCCATGCCTCTCCCTCGAGTCTGTCCACAGCAGCAGGCTCTTGACATTTGTTAAAGCAACGCTGCCACCGCCCCCTCCCCCAAGTACCAGGCTGGTGCACCAGCACTAGCAGGTAATCACTTAAGCTGAAAAGCAGGTGGGGGTGGGGGTGGGGGTATTAGCATTTGAACTTGTAGCGAGGCGCCAAGGAGTCAAGCTTTAGTGGCTGCTTTCGGGGCTACTGGGGTTGCTGTTTGTTTTGAGAAATGGAGCTGTCCGGTCCTAGCTGGGTAGTGACTCCTGTTGACACACAGGCCACCCCTGCTGACACATCCTCCATTCCCCCTGAAGTCCACCTTGCTCTTAGCCAAAGGAAAGGGTTCTTTCTGACATTTTGTTTTGAGGGCAGGAGGCCTGAAGATCCGAATTTAAATGTGAACGTGAACTGATAGGACTTATGCCCTCCATCGCACCCTACCCCCACCCTCAGATCCCAGCAGGAAGTTCCAGAGGCCCTGGGTTTCCTTCCCAGGAGTGTCAGCTCAGGAATCCCTAGCTCATATGCCCGTTCCTGGTAAGGACAGGGTGTAACTTGCACCCTACACAGTTCAAGCTGACTACTCATAAAGCAAGAGCCATTTCCCACGTAGCTGGTTCTAGAGACAAATGCCTGGGTTCAAATCCTGACTTAATAGCTGTGTGGTGTGACCTGGGGCAAGTGTCTTAACCTCTCTGTGCCTCAGCTTCCTTATGCACAAAATAGAGATAAAATAGTACTAATCGGCGGTGAAGACAAATGAGTCAATACAAGGGAGGTACTAAGAACAGTGCCGGGCATTGAGCAAGAGCTCAGTGAAGTTAGTTGTTACTGTTACCAATATCATTTTTCTTTCCTGTGAGCCCGTTTCCTGCCCCACCACCCTTTCCACTGCCTGCTCAGAGCTCCTGGTTAGGTAAGGAGCTGTGAGGGAGGTTGCAGAGCAAGTGAGGAAGACAGGGCCCAGTTGGGTGTGGATCTCTGTTGTTTTCACAAAACCTGGCACGCCAACCTGCCATCCAGAATTATCCTCATCCCGCCTTCCTGTTCTTTGCACTACACACGTTCCTAAAAAATTCCAGGTAAGGGAGCTTTTGTAAGTCAAAATACTTTTAAAAAGAAAGAAAGAAAACAGAAAAATACCATGCTAGATTTCTAATTAAACCTCGAGGCAGAATCAGGAAGGATCTTGAGCTTTTTCTTAAGATTTTCTGAATCTCCCATGCATCCATCCTATATAAAACCCACAGAAAAACCAGTGTACACCAGACTTGCTTCTTAGGAGGAAGATTCTTCCATTTACAAGAGAATTTGATAATGGGGCTAATCACTCCCTAATTGGTAATGTTTCGTCAGCTGGGTGGCTTAAAGTGGGGTCTATCTATATGATACCTGTGTTCTCTCCATCAGCTCCAGAAGCAAGGTGGATAGGAAAACCCACCCTCATGGATACGTGGAGGAGTGAGCCAAAGGGGGAGAGCAATTGGCCCAGAATGCACCCCCCCCAACACACACACCCAGATGGTTCTCTGGGATAGCCTAACTATGGTTTTGTTCCCCGGCTGTCTGCTTGCTTGAGTCCATGCTGTCCAGAAAACCACCCAGCCAGGAGCTGGAGCTAGGGAAATCTCCAGCAGCCTCCAGCTTGCAAGTCATCTATCCCCTGCTTTGGGTCTGTTTTCCCAGCTGCACTAGGACAGCGAATCCTGCTGCCTTTCCAGAGGGCTCTGCGGGGGCGGCCCTGTCCAATTTAAGCCCAGAGATTGAGGCTCTGCAATGGTATACAAAGGGGCATCTCTGGGGCCATGGCAGGCAGAGACCAAGGAGGAGTAACGGCGAATGGGAGAAGTGGAGGGGGCCCCTGGCACCAGAGATGGAGGGTCACCTTACCAGGGTGTGCATGAGACATCCCACGCCTCCCCCACACGGCCCTAATGGTCAGGTCCTGAGTGTCTCAGAGGCAGAAGGGCTTCGCCTCCAGGGGCCAATGCAGGAACCCTGACTCTGTCTGAAGCAGGACCACACAGGACCCAGCAGCCCCGTGGCCACCCGGGGAGGGGGCGGGGGAAGGAATAGCGTGTGTCAGCTGAACTGGAGCTGACGGTCTGAGTGGAGCCCGCCCCAGGGCGCTCTGTCAAGCCGCAGCCAGCTCTGGCACCTAGCACGGCCCGTGAGGTGACACTCCCACTCTCCTTCCACCTCACTTCCAATTCCGCCCCCGGCAGCTGGGGCTACTGACCGACCTGGGGCCGCGGAGCAGGAGGGAGACTCTCCCACCGCCGCCAACTCCATCACCCCTGGCCCCGGGGCGCGCGGGCGGGGCAGAGGGTAAGAGCCGGGTTTAGCCCCTCACCCGGGCGAGCGAAGGCAAATAAATAATCCCGAAGTCACCTTCAGTCTCTGGAGAGACTTTTCCGGGGAGAGCTGGGGTGGGGGAGGGAGGCAGCCCTTCAGCCAAGGCGGGGCGCGGCGGGCGGCGCCGGGAGGGGTGGTCGCCGCCTGCCTGGAGGCTGGGGCGCCGGGCAGCCTCAGCCCCGCCGGGGCAGGGACGCGGCGGCGGGAAGGGGAGGGAAGGGAAGGAAGGGGAAAGAAGGGAAAGGAAGGGAAGGGAAGGGAAAGGAAGGGAAGGGAAGGGAAAGGAAGGGAAGGGAAGGGAAGGGCCGGCGCGGCCGTGCCGAGGAGCGGCGGGGGTGGGGGCTGCGGGGCTGCGGGGCTCCGGGCGGGCCGGGCACTCACGTCCTCTTGAAGACGCCCCCGAGGGCGCTGCCCAGCAGGAGGCAGAGCTGCTGCGAGAAGAAGACCCAGGAGATCTGGGGCAGGGAGCTGTGCGTCTGGCAGCGCAGGTCCAGCAGCGTGGGCCCCAGGAAGGCGATGCACAGGCCGAAGCTGAAGAAGACGCTCCAGTAGGTGAGCGTGGGCTGCAGGTTGCGGCGGAGCAGCCCGGACACGCGGCCGTCGCAGCCCATGGCCCCGGCTGGCGGGCTGGCGGGCTGGCGGCGGCTGGCTCCGCGCGCGGGTGCCCGAGTGCCGCGCCGCGCGCGGGAGGGCCGGCCGGGCCCGGGGAGGCCGGCGGCCGGGAGGGAGGGGCGGGGCGGGGCGGCCCGGCGAGGGGCCCCGCCCTCGGGCCCGGGCAGCGGCGGGGGCGCGGCGGCGGCGCGGCGGCGGCGGGCGGGCACGGCGTCGGGGCCCGCGCCCTCCTGGGGCGGGCAGGGCGCCGGCCTCCCCCCGCTTCCCGAGCCCACGCTCACCCTCCCCGGCTGCAGGAGACCGACCGGCTGCCGCGCTCGGCTCCCACCCCCTCTCCAGCTGCCCGTCCCACCGGCGTCCTAGCACGGCCCCCCGGGGGCGGCGGGGCCTGAGCCCCCTTGCAGAGCTGGGCGAACTGAGCCCGAGACGCCCTGGATGCTCGCACAGGCTGGAGGGCGGATCTTCCAGCGCTTCGCGTAGCTCGGGGCGCTCCGGTTTCCCCCCAGATCCAAGCTGGCCTAGGGCTTTAGGTGGAGGAATCCCCGAGCACAGCCCCCTGCACTTAGGGGCTTCACAGATGGACTTCGAGGGTCTGACAGCGCCCCCTTCTTCCCCCGGAATAGAAGACGAAATCACCTACATACATTTTTTTTTCCTTGGGAGAGTATTCATGGCTTTCGTTAGAACCTCAAGAGGGTAAGCACTTTAGACAGAGAACCTTAGAAACCTCCCATCTTCACGCTAAGCTCCGCCTGAGAGCTGGTCTTCACCTGCCGCATCTCATCTGAGCGCTGGACAGGTGTAGGAAGGAGGAAGATGTAGACTCCATCTCTCTCCTTCTTCCTGGTGGGGAGGGGGGAGGGGGAGGCGGGATGGAAAGGGCAGCGATCTGGAGGAATCCCAGAAGGAATGCCGAAATAGTTCTCTAGGGGGGTAAAAAAGAGTTCTGAGGAAAATTCCTTTTTTTTTTCCCCCTGGAAAAACCCGGGTGGGGTTGCGGGGTGAGAGGTTTAGTCTCCAGACTGGTAGTTCTTGGAGGAGCCTGCGGTTGGCACAGCCTGTCCCTCCGCCCAGGTGACCATGGACCTGGTGAGTCCTGTGTGACCCAGCCTCTGAGGGAGCCAGGGCTCCTGCATTGGTCCCTGGAGGCTGAGCAGTAAGTTCCAGCGTGTCACCTCTGCTCAGGTGTTCTAGCAGGGGCAGAAGCCATGACATCATGGCCACTGGCCCTCTAGGGGACCAGAGCTGAAGGGGCTGAGGAGGTAGGAGGGTGGGTGCTCTCATGACAACTCGGCATGAGGACAGGTAACCAACTTCTCTTGCAGGTACTGGATGCATCTGCTCCATTCCCCCTAGACTCTGGGCACCTGGGAGTGGAGTCCCATGGGGTCTCTCTGGCTCAGTGGGTTGGGGGGTAATAACAATTACTTATTCAATGGTGCTAATGGTGAGTCTGCAGAGTACTTGTGATTCAGTAACAAGTTATATTCTGGAAAACAAAAACAAAAACAAATCATAACGACAAGCGTTTGATTGGATCCTCTCTGCCAATCTTACAGACTTCTAGAACCATAGAAGCTGAAAGTTGGAAAGAACAATCTCCAACTCGAGTACCCTATTCCTGCCCCATAATTGCTGATAAATGCTTGTCAGTCCTGTTCTTGACTGATACCTCTTACTGTTGGGGACCTTACCTATCATTTCCTGTGGGTTTGCTTCCAATGTGAGTCAGCTCCAGTTGTAAGGAAGGGTTTCGAGCTCAACTGAAATGCCCCTCCCTGTGGCTCCCCACAGCCACCCGCAGGACAAGGCTGATTGCTCTGGGCATGTTAGTCCTTCAAGCACATGACCTTGCCCCAGCACTTGGCTTCTTCAGCCCAAACGCCTGAAATTCTTTCATGATTTCCTTAGATGGTACTCCCTAGATAGATCACCCTACTGGTTCAGCTCCTCCAGCCACAGTGGCAGGGACCCTCGTACAGTGAGGCATCCCACAGTGTCTGGGGTGCTAGAAGCATTCTGTAGCTTGATCTGGGTGCTGGTTACACAGCTATGAGCATATGTAGAAATTCATTTACGTACAAACATATGTACGCTTAGGATTTGTGTCTTATAAGCAAGTCATGGTTTGATAAATGAGTGGAAAGTAAAAATAAGTAGACAAAAACAAAGTGAGACCCTCTACTGTGAACACAATACCCAGCCTCCTTAGAGTCAAAGCCTTCCTTCCTTTCTTGCCTGCTCTCTGGCGTGCAGGGCCCTTGTGCTGGGTCGAGCAGGCAGGGAAATAAGTGCAGCAATGAGGTTCTTTCTGTCATGGGGATGCTTTCAGAGCCTGTAGCGGGGAGCATCTCGTTTTGCCTGGGAAGGCTTCTTTACTGGACTGGGTGTGGAAGGATGAGTATGGGAAAATGTTTCGTTTATTCTCTCTTATTCTTCTTTGTCTCCTCTATTTTCCAGTATCATCACCTTCAGGAAACTTTTCTGGAAAAATCCTATCCGACCCCCAAATACCAGCAAACCCCTGATCCACTCCTTACCCCCTACAATCCTCAGTGTCAGCTGTTATATCCAGGGACGGCCAGCTTCCTCTTCCTGCCACCCTGCCTCCCCTGCAGTCTGGTTAAATGGTGAGTTCTTAAGGGCTGGGACTATATTTACCATATTATATTATATTTACCAACTCTCCCCACCCCCATCCAGGTGCCTCACAGAATATCTTGCAGATAGCGAGTCCTGGATAAATAGCTGGGCAATGAATTATTTGCACATTGCCTTTATAATTATTTTTGTTTTTTCTTTTATATATCTTATCTCCCAATGATAACAAGTTCCCCGAGGAAATAGAGGCTGTCCTCTATTTCTTCTGTGTCGAGTATCCAAATGTCTAGCCCTCGCTGGGCACCCTGTGGTCATTCTTCAGTTTTAATGACAAAACCTTGGATGGTCCTTTAGCCACTCTCAGATTTCCTTCTGTGTACATTGGTAGGAAATTATCCCTGTCCCTCACTAGCTCTGGAAAGCAGTGGGGAGACCCGCAAATAAGGAAAGACGGACTAGATTGGCAGGGAAGATCTATGGGAGTGAAGAAGGGTCCTCAGGCTCTTGCTGACTGAAATCTGTTTATTTGCCTCAAGGGTCGCCTCCTCTGGGAAGCTTCCCCTGACCTTGTTAGGGTCCCTCCTTGGGGCCCCATCCGAAATCATTGCTAATCATCTGTGTACTGCCTCTCCTCCAAGGAAGGGCCATGGGCTTGGTTCTTCACTGAGTGCCAGGACTGGCTCCTTGCTGAGGGCGGTTTGCACCCTACTGACTCCTGCTTACACCTGGAAGTGAGAGAAATCCATAAATGGCCCATCTTGGACCATCGATGGGTGGCCTACATCCTGGAAATACTTGAGGAGCAACCAAACCAGATCTAACAGCGAGTGAAGTAAGAGCCAAGTAACCTTGCCACCATCCTTTTACATATGCATCCGAGCTGCCCAAACTCCTTAGTGCACAGAATCATGGGTACACTTTCTCTCCATTCCTATTTTTTTTTTAAAGATTTTATTTATTTATTTGAGAGAGAGAGAATGAGAGAGAGCACATGAGAGGGAGGAGGGTCAGAGGGAGAAGCAGACTCCCCGCCGAGCAGGGAGCCTGATGCGGGACTCGATCCAGGGACTCCAGGATCATGACCTGAGCCGAAGGCAGTCGCTTAACCAACTGAGCCACCCAGGCGCCCCTCTTCATTCCTATTTCTGTTAGAATTGAAAACCTTCGATATTAAAACATGGACAAAAAAAAATTTGGATGATCACAGCCTAGAGGGGGTCACCTGGACTTGGGCCTGATTTCATGTTTGGCAGAATCCTCTCAGTGACCGTGGGCCTGCTTTGGGTCCCCAGGACCCTCTGGTCTCTGCTTCTCAGACTTTGAGGAAGCCAGGCAGGAACAGTAGAAGAAGTCTCCAGTTCAAGGTCATGAAGCACATCTGCAGTTCCTCTGGCCATTCTGGGGAATGAGGCCGCCGCTCCCCTACCTCTGGGTTTTATCTTCACAGCCCCCACGTCATCGCCTTCCTAGCCAGAGTGTGCAGAGTGGACTGGCAGGCTCGGTCTGAGGTCAGCATGGGGTGAGTGGCAGACAGCTTGGTGCCAAGGACTGTACCCACATGACCCGGCCACCCTACCCCACATGAATGCCAACGGCAGAGATGGGTATGTGTACAAAAAGTCTCCTTTGCCAACTATCTGGATGAACCGAGTTATCAGCCTGCGTGGGTGGGGGGTGGTTACTGCAGGTGCCAAGAGGGACGGGAGAGACAGGAGCAGGTGAGATGGCCCAGAAGCATCTTAAGAGTGAGGCCAGTGGCCACATGCATCCTGGAGAGAATACTGCATAATACCTGGCACTTAGCTGGTGCTGAATACGTGTTAGAGCTTAATAGTGCTAGTTGAAGCTAGTCTAACTGTGAGGGTTGGAAGGACCCTCTGAAATTATCCTTTCCCTCAGAAACCGAATCCCATTTACAGCACTGCCCAGGGAGCCACTCGGCCTCACCTTCAGCATGCCCGGGCTTGGAGTCAAGCTGTGAGATGCGTGCAAAACTGAGCCTTGGTTTCCTCCTCTGTAAAATGGGGAGAATCGGGGCATCTGGCTGGCCCAGTCGCTAGAGCATGAGACTCTTGATCTCGGGGTTGTGAATTCAAGCCCCACGTGGGGAATAGAGCTTACTTAAAATAAAAATAAAATGGGGAGAATAGTACCTCCCTTACTGTGAGAAAATGTAGACAGGGTGTAATACAGAAGCTGGTACACCAGGTTCTCAATAAAATTCTCCTCCTCCTCCTCCTTCTTCACAACAACAGCACAAATTGCTTTCCTGGTTTATACACTGGTACGGTGGCTAGCAAAGTATGTCCCTGGACCAGCAACATCAGGATGTCCTGGGAACTTGTTAGAAATGAAGATTCTCGGGGCGCCTCCGACTCTTGAGTTTGACTCAGGTCATGATCTAGGCTCAGGTCATGATCTCAGAGTCATGAAATCGAGCCCTGCCTCAGGCTCTGTGCTGATTTTCTCTCTCTCTCTCTCTCTCTCTTTCCCTCTCCCTCTGCCCCTCCCCCCACCCCTCACTCCTGCCCGCACTCTCTCTAAAAAGAAAGAAAGAAAGATTCTCTAGGGGTGCCTGGCTGGCTCAGTCAGTAGAGCACGTGACTCTTGATCTTGGGGTTGTAAGTTAGAGCCCTATGTTGGGTGCGAAATTACTTAAAAATAAAATTAAAAAAAAAAAAGAAAGAAAGAAACGCAGATTCTCAGTTCTGCCCCAGACCTGCTGGATCAGAAATTCTGGGGGTGCGGCTCAATAATCTTTGGTAAGCCCTCCAGGGTACTGAGCTGCAGCTACAGTTTGCAAATGACTGCTTTAGAGCCACAAAGGAAAAGTCTAATTCCCATTCTACAGAGAGCCATTCACTATTTGAAGACATTTTTCATGTTCTTCCTTGACAAGTTTCATTGTCCCCAGCAACATCCTCTCCACTTCCTTCAGCCATCCTTCATTGGCCATGTATTCCAGACCCCTTGCCATGCTTTTCTCCATTCATGTCATGCTCTGACTGTTAATGACCTTCATAAAAATGGTCCCGAGTGGTCTAAGCAGCACCGAATGCAATGGGTTCGCTGCCTCCTCTTTTCTAGAAATTTTGACAGCTTTTTATTGAGTGCCCACTCTGTGCTAAGCACATGACCTACAATAACTTTTTGTTTATATTTTTTGAAGTAAGTTCTATGCCCAACATGGGGCTCGAACTCACGACCCTGAGATCAAGAGTCACATGCTCTACCAACTAAGTCAGCCAGGCACCCCTTGTTTACTTTTTTTTTTTTAATTGGGGTTAAACTTACATAGATTAAAATGCACAAGTCTTAAGTGAACAACTTGAATTTGTATATGTGTACATACCCAGGTGACCACCACCCAGATCAAGATACAGAATATTTCCAGCACCCACCCCGGAAATGGTAGTGTGGTTGTTTAATATTATGTCTGTGAGAACATAAGTTCATAATTCTTCATTGCTATGCAGTATGCCACCGTATACATACACATAATTTATTTGCATGCAATTTTATTGCATACAAATTTATACACACACAATTTATTTAGCCCATCTGCTATTGATGGACATTCAGGTTGTTTCCAGTTTGGAGCTATTATAAATAAAGCTGGTTTGGACATTCATGTACTTGTCTTTTGGGGGACATAAGCATTCATTCTATTGAGGATATGCCCAAAAGTGAAGTTGCGAGGCCATAGGATTGGTTTAGCTTTAGGAGATGTTGCCAAACAGTTATCCAAAGGGATTGTATCAGCATACCCTCCTCCAGAGTTCCAGTTGCTCCGCATCCTTGTCACCAGTCATGTTCATTTTAACCCTCATGTTGGGAGGACACTAGTTTCTTAGGGGTTTTCATCTGCGTTTCTCTAATAACAGATACTGTTCAGTATTTTTTTAATGTACTTATTGGCCACTTGTTCAACTTCTTTTGTGAAACGCCCCTTCAAGTTTTCTATCTACTTTTTTTTTAAAGATTTATGTATTTATTTTAGAGAAAGAGTGAGAGAGCGCTCAGGTGGGGAGGGTCAAAGTGAGGGGGAGAGAGAGAATTTTTTTTAAATTTTTTATTGTTATGTTAGTCACCATACATTACATCATTAGTTTTTGATATAGTGTTCCATGATTCATTGTTTGTGGATAACACCCAGTGCTCCATGCAGAACGTGCCCTCTTTAATACCCATCACCAGGCTAACCCATCCTCCCACCCCCCCTCTAGAGGAGAGAGAGAATCTTAGGCAGGCTCCATGCCCAGCGCAGAGCCCCACGTGGGGCTCGATCCCATGGTCCTGAGATCATGATGTGAGCTGAAATCGAGAGTCGGTCACTTAACCAACTGAGCCACCCAGGCGCCCCAAGTCTTCTGCCTACTTTTAACATTGGGTTGTCTGTCCTTAGAAAAATTATGTAGGAGTTTTTGTTATATTCTAGATATGAGTCTTTTCTCAGTTACACATATTATAAATATCTTCTACTTGTCTGTGCCTACATTATCTTTAATCTTCACGATGATCCTATGACGTAGGCATTATTATCCTTTTTTTATGGATGAGGAAACTGCGGCTCAAGAAGGCAGAGTAACTTGCCCAAAGTCACACAGTTAGAAAGTATCGAAGCTGAATTTTGAGCCCACTCCAAAGTCTGGATCCTCCCCATGACACCATCTGCCTCTCACATTCAACTCCTACTTACACACCCAAGGCTGGTGACATTTTCCCCCAGGAACTGCTATTTTTTTTAAAGATTTTATTTATTTATTTGTCAGAGAGAGAGCACAAGCAGAGAGAGCAGGAGAGAGACAAACAGGCTCTCCGCTGAGCAGGGAGCCCGATGTGGGGCTCAATCCCAGGACCCTAGGATCATGACCTGAGCCAAAGGCAGACACTTAACCGACTGAGCCACCCAGGTGTCCCTCCCCCCCCCACCCCCCGCCCCCTGGAACTGCCATTGAACTAAGTCTTCCTGTCTTGTCTAGGCACAGTTGATTTATTGAAATCCTATGCAGTATAGGACTTGGTATATGTGGAATAACGGGAAGAATGTGGAATCAGGAGCAAGACAGACCAGCACTAGGTTTTGGCCCCGCACTTGACGGTCAATTCAGGGCTGAACATTGTCAGCCCAATTCTCTTCAAATGCAAAATATCACATCCTTACAGCGTTGTGGTGGGCAGAAATGAGAGCACACTGGAGCCTCTGGTAGAACACCGAGTTCGGTGCCGCCTACACTTCCTTAGTTGCCTTCCCCTACCCTGAGCCTCATGTAATTTCCGTTTGGGTTTCTCTTCCCTGCCAGCACACTTTGGATCCCAGTTCACCCATGCCGCCGAAGGGCTATTCCTCCAGCTGTCCCAGATTAATGGCCCCTCACATTCCTAATGGATGGTGGATGGTTACTAATCGTCATCCAACTCATTGAGAAAAATATTGAACACAATGCACCGTTCTCCACCCTCCTAATTAACCTTTCATTTGGAGCTCAGGTGAGCTATTCATCCTGCGGGAGCTCCCCCACCCCCCATTGCTACCTGAGGTGCCTGCCTGTGTTCCCTCCCTCTCCACTTACCACACTTCCTTGTGATCACCAGCTGGAGTGTCCTTAATGCGGATCGGCTGTCAGCGCCCTGAGGTTAGAGAGTGGGTCACACATTAATCCTTCTGTCTCAGGCACTCGGCACAGCACCTGCCTAGTTCACAGCAGACATTCAGGAAATATTAGTACATGAATTTAATGTTTCATTGCTAGAAGCTTGAACTAACGAATAAACTCTGAGGCAAGAAATAATATTCATGAAGGATTTCGTGAGGGATGTACAATTCACCTATTAGTAATTCTCAGACCAGGCTATATGTTAGAATCACCTGGAAGCTAAAGAAAGTCAGACTCTCTGATTGATGGAGTCCTGTATTGGTGTTTTGCAAAAGCTCCCCAGGGTTTTCTAATGTACAGCCAAGGTTGGAAACCACTGCTCCAGAGAATCTACGTTTTACTCCCGGAGAACTGCTCACATACCCTGGCATACCATTTAGGCCCGGCATTAAAGTGCCCTTATTGAATTCTGCTGGGGCTTTATGCCTAGTTTGAGTGACCTTACGATATGTCACTGCAGTTATGGTGGGGATGTTGTTGCCAATGGACCCCTATAGGAAGAGGCACAGGAGAGATTCCTGTTGGGCATCGGTACCAAGAAAAGCTATGATTCTCCTGAACATCCAGTTCTTTTTTATCTTGTGGATGCTGGGAATCATTTAATTAGCACTCTTTCCAAGCTGATAGAAACTGCTGGAAAGCTCATGGCCAAAGTCATGGTCCACCTTTATCACCTGTACAGAATTATATAGTATATGTATCGCATGCTGACTTGGTTCCTCTTTATTTTCTGTCCTTTTTTTTTTTTTTAAGATTTTATTTATTTATTTGGCAGAGAAAGACACAGCGAGAGAGGGAACACAAGCAGGGGGAGTGGGAGAGAGAGAAGCAGACTCCCCGCCGAGCAGGGAGCCCGATGCGGGACTCGATCCCGGGACTCCAGGATCATGACCTGAGCCGAAGGCAGTCGCTTAACCAACTGAGCCACCCAGGCGCCCTATTTTCTGTCCTTTTACTCTCCTTTACTCATCCCTCCCTTTTTTAGTTGAGATATTATCCCAATACCATAAAATTCACTCTTTTAAAGTGTATGATTCAGAGGCGCCTGGCTGGCTCAGTTATAAGAGCATGTGACTCTTGATCTTGGGGTTGTGAGTTCGAGCCCCACATTGGATGTAGAAGATTAGTTAAATAAATTAATTTTAAAAAAACAGAGTGTTGGGACACCTGGGTGGCTCAGTCGTTAAGCGTCTGCCTTCGGCTCGGGTCATGATCCCAGGGTCCTGGGATCGAGCCCTGCATCGGGCTCCCTGCTCAGCGGGAGGCCTGCTTCTCCCTCTCCCACTCCCTCTGCTTGTGTTCCCTCTCTTGCTGTGTCTGTCTCTGTCAAATAAATAAATAAAATCTTTTAAAAAAAAAACAGAGTGTATGAGTCTGCAGTTTTTAGTATATTCACAAGATTGTGTGATCATCACCACCACCTAATTCCAGAACATTTTCATCACCCCTATAAGAAACTCTATCCCCATTAGTAGTCACGTCCCCTTCCCCCTTTTCTCAGCCTTTGGCAACCACTGTCTACCTTCTTTCCTTATAGATTTCCTTATTCTGGACAATTCATAGACATGGAATCATATCATATGTGGCCTTTTAGGTCTGGCTTCCTTCATTTAGCATGTTTCCAAGGTTCCTCCATGTTGTGACACACCTCAGTACTTCACCCCTTTTTATAGGTGAACAAGAAATTTCATCCTATGGATGTACCACATTTTGCTTTTCCGTTTATCTGTCGATGGACATTTGGGTTTCCACTTTTTGGCTATCATGAATAATGCTGAATTCATGCATAAGTTTTCATGTGAACGTGCTTCAGTTCTCTCAGGCATATACCTACAGTGGATTGGCTGGGTCACATAGCAACTCTATGGTTAACTTTTTGAGAATCTTTTCTCACAGAAAATTATTTTTTATCTTGTTGTACTGTACGCCTCTCTGTAAGCCTCTACAAGTCCTTCTTTCTGGAACAAGGCGGAGTATAAATAAATAAATAAATCCCAAAACACTCCCAAGCCATCTGTTTAATAATCTGTGCTAGAATTTTGCCAGGATTCTATATTGAGCCATTTGGTCCGTTGTTTCCAGAAATACCTTCTGTGTCTTTGTGAAAATCAGAACATTCTCTCATCTCCAATGTCCTCATCGTTTATCCTGGTTGCTTTTCAGTCCTACCTGCAAGGTATTTCATGACTCGGGTGTCTAATTCCTTTGAATCTGGCCTCCAGCTCTCACGTGAAGGTGCATGAGCTCCCACCGCCTGCCTTCTTGTCTACCTTGTGATACAATTAAATGTTTATATCCAAGTACTTCCTGCACTCGGCTAGAACTAAGGTTGAACAGAGGAGCCCATGGTGAACAGCCCCACCTCATTCCTTCTCTCCCCTAGTCTCCCTCCTCAGAGGCAACCACTTCTACCTCTGTTATTCTGGGAGTGACTTCCATGTCTCTAAATAATATGCTTATGCTGCTGTTTCTGGATTTCTCCATTTTAGACATCCTCTATTGATTTAACTGGGGAGGATGGGGATTTCGTTCACATACATCATCCATACAGCGCTCTTCCCACTCTCCTCCCAACATGGTTAAGAGAGCTGTTTTTATTCAGTTCCTCTCAATAAAATGAAAATAAATCTGTTGATTATGTTTGCTGTTTCAGGTAACATATTTATATCTTTATTTCTCATCCTGTCAGCTCTTGCTAGTTTGGACGCACTATTTTGTAGGCTAAGCCTACCCTCACTCCTACATTTCCCTTGGGCTCTCCTTTCCAACTTCTGTCTTCTGAACATTTCCTTGAAATGCTCAAGGTTGCTAACATTATGTTCTAGCTTTCTAACCATAATTAGGTCTTCATGCTTTGCCTATAGGTTGGTTCTAAAAGTTCAAGTTCAATAAATCATTTACATTTGTGACAATGTAAAAATTGTTTGTGGCTGAACCAGCGATGTCTTATAATTACCTTTCCTTTTATTTGTTTTAGTTTATCCTAGAGTTTGATTGACTCTCTTCTTCTCTTGACTTGACATTATCATTTCAAGTTTGTCTTCCAACTTTTCAGCCTATTGAGTATTTGGTTTATGAGGTACCCCTTTTCCCTAAGGACCCCCCACACAGGGAACTCTCTCTTACGCTCTAATTTGGACAAGTTGCTTTTTTGGTTTGTTTATTTATTGATTTAGTAATCTTTATGCCCAACATGGGGCTTGAACTCACAACCCTGAGATCAAGAGTTGCATACTTTTCTGATGAGCCAGGCAGGTGCCCTTGAGTGAGGTGCTTTTCTGTCACATAGCTGTCCGCCTGGGACTTCTTCCTTTCACAGATGCCCTGGCCTGGTCCCACTGTTTTCCCCTTCCTTCCTCCTTCTCTCCCTCCCTCCCTCTCTTTTTCTTCTTTGTTTACACTATCATTTTCCCCACACCCCATCTTCAAGTAATTTCTTAAGAGGGGGCTTATGGTACCTGGATTTTCTGAGTCCCTCATTTCTGAAAGTGTCATGGCTCCGCCCTCACACTTGAATCGTAATTTGGGTGGATATAGACGTCGCATTAAAAATTGCTTTTTTCGGGGCGCCTGGGCTGCTCAGTAGGTTAAGCGTCTGCCTTCGGCTCAGGTCATGATTCCAGAGTCCTGGGATGAAGCCCATCCGTGTGGGCCCCCTGCTCAGCAGGAAGCCTGCTTCTCTCTCTCCCTCTGCCTGCCCTTCCCCCTGCTCATGCTCTCTCGCTCTCTCAAATAAATAGTCTTTTTAAAAAAATAAAATAAAAATTGCTTTTTTCACACAATGTCAAAGGCATTGTTCTAGCCTTAGCTAATGGGAATCCTGAGGCCAGTCTGATTCTTTTTTTTTTTCCTAAGATTTTATTTTATTTTATTCTTTTTTACATTTTTAAATTAACATATTATGTATTATTTGTTTCAGGGGCACAGGTCTATGATTCATCAGTCTTACACACTTCACAGCGCTCACCATAGCACATACCCTCTCCAGTGTCCATCACCCAGCCACCCCATCCCTCCCAACCCCCTCCACTCCACTCCACTCCTCAGTTTGTTTCCTGAGATTGAGTCTTTTATGGTTTGTTTTAAGATTTTATTTTTAAGTAATCCGTACACCCAACATGGGGCTCGAACTCAGAACCCCAAGATCAAGAGTCGCATGCTCCACCTACTCAGCCAGCCAGGTGCCCCTGATTCTTATATTTTTAGAGGTAAATTTTTCCCCTCTAGGGATATCTTAGAATCTTGTGTTTACCATTGCTATGTTAAAAGTTCACCATGACAGTGCTTATGTGTGGGTCTCTCATTCACTTGTGATTCTTGGTGTCCCCTTTGCATTTGAAAATTCTGCTCTTTGGCTTTGGGGAATTATTTTGTTTTCTTATTTGAGAATTTCTTCCATTACATTTTCTTTGTACTTTTTTTTCTGGATAGACTTTTATCATAATGATTCTCTAATTCTCTACCTTCCAACACCTTTTACTGAAATATTTATTTCTATAATCCTCTCTTTAATTTCTGGTTGCTCACACTATTTTCTTTCTTTCTTTCTTTCTTTTTTTTTAGAGAGAGAGAGAGTGTGGCGGGGAGGGGAGGAAGTGGAAGGGGCAGAAGGAGAGGGAGAGAGGGAATCTCAAGCAGACTCCACACCCAGCACAGAGCTGGATGCGGGGCTTGATCTCATGACCCTGAGATCGTGACCTGAGCCAAAATCAAGAGTCAGACACTTAACCAGCTGCACCATCCAGGCACCCCACTCACACTATTTTCTGGTTGTTTCTTTCATAGGATCCTGTCCTTGTCTGGGGATGCAACACCCCCTTAAATCACCCTGAAAATACCCGTTATGGAAAGTTTTCTTGTATCTTCTGTGTCTGAAGTTACTTCTCTTTCTTGTGGAGCATTGTCCCTGCCCCTATGTACTTACCTTTGTTTCCTTTTCACACCAGAAGCTTTTGTCAAATGTCTGACGGTCTTTGACTTTCCATATTTAAGAGTGAGGCTGGACTGGTCAGTTGGCAGATTTCATTTCCTTTGGGAAGGGAGCCTGGGTCACAAGGGGTGGGGGACTCCAAGTAACGGAGGTGGCAGCCGCTTCTTTGGGATCGTTGAACCTTCTGATTGGGGATGGATCCCTGGCTGCCCCATGTGTTGCTTAGGGATCTGCTGTCCCTACGCTATTGGCCAATCCTTCTCTTGTCAGCCACAGCACCACCTCCGGCCTCCTCTACGCGGTCCAACCCTGTGGTCTCTCTGAGGCCTGAGCCCCGCTGTGGTTCTGCTGGGATGATGTGGGGGGCCTTCCCAGCCGCCTCCCACTCTGTCCTCCCTCTTCATCGGGGACCACTCTTCTCCATTTCCACCGCTATCTACTCGCCGAAAATGTTCATCAGTGCTGGCCTCCCTCCTGTTCTCTTCCTCATTAGGAGAGTGTACTTTTCAGGCACCTGGGTGGCTCAGTGGGTTGAGCGACGGTCTTCGGCTCAGGTCATGATTCTGGAGTCCCTGGATCAAGTCCTGCATCAGGCTCCCTGCTCGGCAGGGAGTCTGCTCCTCCCTCTGACCCTCGCCCCTCTCATGTGCTCTCTCTCATTCTCTCTCTCTCAAATAAATAAATAAAATCTTTAAAAAAAAAAAAAGGAGAGTGTACTTTTCTTCATTGCTTTATTGTCAGTTTAGCGGGGGTCACAGGAGGGATGACAAACGTGTGGCCAGTAGTCTGTCTTGAAATGGATATCTTCAATTCCCTCTTTCTTTTGGTTTTGTTTTTATTTATTTTTTTTTTTAAAGTAATCTCTATGCCCAATATGGGGCTCGAACCAACGACCCTGAGATCAAGAGTCACATGCTCCACTGACTGAGCCAGCCAGGTGCCCCTTCAATTCCTTCTTAATGTGTCTGTGTTTATGTTTGTCAGAACACAGGAGAATGAACCAAATTCCGTTTCATGCTCATAAATATCTCGACAGTTTGGGAACTGGAGGTTCCTGAAATCTGAGGGGCTCTTTCCTTCTGTTTGGCTGTTTTTATCCTACTTGTCCCTTCAAGACAGATGGGGCTTCCCCACCCACCCTGTCACCCCGTCACCCCATCGCCCCATCACAGACCTCCACACACTCACTTCCGAATGCCCACTCATGTCTCTGTCCAGAACGTGTTGGAGCTGCAGCTCCAGCTCCATCCACCCTCTTTGTTGGGCGGTTCTGACCCATGGTTTAGTCCCGGGTGGGTTTCTCCTGCTCAATGGCAGAGCCTCCTGGACCACCCTTCCTGTCCCCCTGCCCACAGCAGGTCCAGCCTTCTTGCCCTCCAAGTTCACACCTGCTTTCATCCCTCATTTACATCCAAAGAGGGACATTTAAAAAAAAAAGATTTTATTTATTTATTTGACAGAGAAAAACACAGTGAGAGAGGGAACACAAGCAGGGGGAGTGGGAGAGGGAGAAGCAGGCTTCCCGCCGAGCAGGGAGCCTGATGTGGGGCTCGATCCCAGGACCCTGGGATCATGACCTGAGCCAAAGGCAGATGCCCAATGACTGAGCCACCCAGGTGCCCCCAAAGGGGGACATTTTAAAGCAATTGGTGTCCCCTCTGCAGAGGGCTATTTGGCATCAGCCATCAACACTTATGACTGTACCTGACCCCTGACCTGCGATCCCTTCATCATCATGGTCATCATCATTGCACTTCTAGGAGGTTATCCCGGGATAGAGGTGTTCTTATGCAAAATGACGCGTGTCCAAAGTTATTTATTGCAGCACTGTTCATGTAGGCAGAAGATTGCGGGCCACCCGAATGACTAAGAAGAGGCAGAAATTAGATACATCCATCCATATCATGGAATATTATATAGTCATAAAAAATGAGAAAACTCTTTATATATTGATAGGAAATAGTATCAAAATATATTTAGTAAAAGCTGGGGGATGCAGAGTGAGCGCCTAACACTTGTGTAACATTTGTGTAACGGGGGAGAAGGTAAGATGTGCTTATCCTGTCTGCGCATAAAGTCCCTGGAAGTTTACAACATTCACTGACTCCAAGGAGGGGAGCCAGCTGCGGGGGGGATGGGGTGAAAGGGACATTTTCACTATATGTGCTCTTGGACCTTTTGAATTATGGAGCACGTGGATGTGTTGTCTATTAAAAATAAATAAAATTTAAAACTCCCCCTTTGTATAATCTCAATTTAGTTTTTTTAAAAGCGCACATAGGGGGGCGCCTGGGTGGCTCAGTTGGTTAAGCGACTGCCTTCGGCTCAGGTCGTGATCCTGGAGTCCCAGGATCGAGTCCCGCATCGGGCTCCCTGCTCGGCAGGGAGTCTGCTTCTCCCTCTGACCCTCCTCCCTCTCATGCTCTCTGTCTCTCATTCTCTCTCTCGCAAATAAATAAAATCTTAAAAAAAAAAAAATTAAAAAAAAAGAAACCAAAAAAATTAAAAGTAAAAAGCACACATATTATACTAAATTATTATAAAATGGGGTGCCTGGGTCGCTCAGTCGGTTAGGCATCTGCCTTCGGCTCAGGTCATGATCCCAGGGTCCTGGGATCGAGCCCCACATCAGGCTCCCTGCTCAGTGGGGAGTCTGCTTCTACCCCTGCTTGTGCTCTCTGTCAAATAATAAATAAATAATCTTTAAAAAATAAATTATTATAAAACAACTTGTATGTTAATCTATATTCTCTGAATTCAGAAGATGTTCTAATATAACATAATCTTTTAATATGAACTATGCATTTTGCTATAATTAATATGCCTGTATGTTACATATTATATTTATCATACATATCTTCTTTTTAAAGTTCTCTTTATAAAAAAGAATCTGCAGGGAAAACATCAAAATGTTAACAGTGGTTATTTCTGGGTAGTTGGCATCTGAGTGATTTTAATTTTCTTCTTTCTCCTTTTGCTATTTCTCCCCCAGTTTTTTATGATAAAGATGTACAGCTTCCAATAATCAGGACAAAGTCATGTATGTTCCTCCACCGCACTGTTTGCAGGATAAAGCTCAGTCCCTTTCTATAGGCCTGTCAAGGCCCCTGCCTGCATTTTCATCCTCCTCTATTGCTCCCCACCCCCCCAGGATCTGTGACTCATGAGCAAGTCCCCTTGGCTGTTCTCCCCTGTCCTTCAGTAACGTGACCCAGCCTATCCAGCTCAAATGTCCCCCCTCCCAGATAGAATGGGGGGCGCCCTCCTCTGTGCCCCGTAACCCACTGTCTCCCTCTGCACTGCATTCGTCACGTGTGTGGCCTTTGTCTTACGAGTCACTGTGCTTCAGTTATAGCCCAGCCCCTGACTCACCCGAGGGCCAGGAAGTTCAGGGCGTCACAGCTACTCCCTCGTGGCTCCTTCCGCCTTCTGCACCATGGAGGTGCTAAGAGAGGTACTGTTGGCTGCAGTCCCCCCTTCACTTTGGTGTCTCCTTTCTGTGTATCAGAGTTTCTGGGGTGTGAACTCGGTGTTCTGCCCGATCTGGCTGCAGTCCGAGCTCCCCTCCTCGTGAGCCGCATTCTCAGATAGGGCCGCAGCTTCCACGCCAACGGTGGGTCCTGGACCAAGCCGCGGTGGTCCCATGTGAGGAGAGAGGGCTCTCCCAGGATGACGGGTCTGCAGGAGGCGGGGGAGGCCCTTTTCTCATGTCCTTGGAGAAAGTGCGGCTGGGAGAGGAGGTGACATTTGGGGCAGAGACTTGCCCACTCCAGGAACCTTCCAGTCTTCCTGCCCGCCCCTTCCTGGACGGACACTGGCCAGAGGGGAGGAGATGGGAGCAGGAGGAGTGACCGGAGCAGGGCCCCACTGCCCATCTCCTTGCCTGGAGGACTTGAGTCTTCTTGCCATTTTGCAGATTCATGCAGAAGAAACCTGCTGCCGGAGAATCCCGCTCGTTCCCAGTTTCCCAGAATGCACAGACCCAGTGATTCACCAACAGTCCCCCGCGCCCCGCATCTCTCACACCAAGCTCCGCCCCCAGTTCACAGGGGAGCTGAACTTAAAGGAAATGGCAGAGGGTGGAGGTCAAGTTCCTTTCCTCTCCATTTATGCCCTGGCTTAAGGGATACTCTTACAGACTCGCCCCTCATCCAGCCACTGTCGCTCTCATCCTTATTCCCAAGGAGATTGCCCGAGAGGATGAGTCCCAGCCTGAGAGCCTGGACACTGGCATCCTTTGCAGCCCAACTCTCTGACAACAGCACCAGGGCTAAGGCTGGATGTGGCAGGCACGCGGCCCTGGGCAGACGTGGGCAGTTACCTATGAAGCCCAGTGTTCAAAATCCTTCCATTAATAAGCACTACTGGCTAATGTTTACCTAGACCTTAGTATGTGCCCGATGTGTTCTGAGTGCTTTCCCTGTGTTAAGGAAATGGGTACATTGACGACATCTCTGTTTTGCACACAAGGAAACTGAGACATGGCGAGGCAAAGCAGGTGGCCCAGGTCGCTTGGCTAGTGGATGGTCTAGCCAGGATTTGAACTCTCCAGCTCCAGAGCCTGTGGCCCTAACCACAAGGCTAAACTGCCAGGGGAGAGGCCCTCCTCCAGGCTGACTGTGCTTCTTATTTGCAGCTTCTTGTGAAGTGCACATATTCCCGGGGAAGGCCTGGGTATGCCTAGTTCACCTCCTGGCTATGAATTGGCTTAGCAGATCCTTCCCCAGGAAGGAGCTGGCTACGGGCCTGAGGATGGCCCCTGGGTTCCTTGCGGGGTAGGTGGGGAATGGAGCCTCTAAAGAGGGTGTGAGGGTCAAGGAAGAGAGGAGAGGGTCCTTGGAGTTGCCTGAGGGTGGTGGGGAGGAGAGGGGGAACAGTGAGGCCCCCCAGCTCAGCGGGGACAACAGCAGGGAAACAAGATGAGGAACAGTAAGGGTAGAATGGGGAAGGGCTCAAGCTGACCCTCAGAGCCCATGCTTTTGGTATGACCTCCTGAAGTGGAGTGAAGGGGCTTGAGAATGGACGGACCGGGGAGTGGACAGACGGACAGGGGGGTGGAGTGGTGGCAATGGCCCTCCAGGCCTGACAGGGGCTTCAGAGTCCTGTGGGCCACAGCCTGAGCCCTGACCCTCCCAGGATGCCCCAGGCCACTCCCTCAGAGTCCAGAGTCACAGTTCTGAATTCCAAACTCCCACACCCAACCCAGCTCTTGGCTCCCCAATGGAATGAAGTGGGTCTGTGCCTGCTGGATCCTGGATGCTGCCAGGAGCCTTCTGTTGGCATCGCCTAAGAACCTAGAGTAAGCTTCTTCCACCACACACCTGCTGCTGCCCATTCAGTGCCCACAGCATGCTCCCTGGGTCGTCACAGCAACGTGGGGAGGTGGTCTAGATGAACCTCATCTGGCCTGTGAGGACTTGAGCTCAGGGAGGTTATGCCTCGCCCAGGATTCAAACCCAGATCTGCACACACCGAGTGTGCCACTCCTTCCGCTCACCCACAGCTGCACCCGGGGCTTCCAGCCCGTGCTGTGGCTGCGGGGCCTTCCTGGGGTCCCCGTGCCTCAGGAGTTCCTTGCCTTCCAGACACTCTAAGCACAACTTCCCAAACCTCTATTTGCTTCAGAATTGCCTGGGGAGTGTGTTTTAGATGCAGATCCCTAGAGTTTACCCCCCAGAGCTTCTGACTATGGAGATCTGCGTTGGGGCTCAGGACTCTGAATTCTTAGCAAAGCCCAAATAATTCTTTTTTTTTTTTTTAAGATTTTATTTATTTATTTGTCAGAGAGAGAGAGAGAGAGAAAGCTCACAAGCAGGGGGAGCAGCGGACAGAGAGAGAAGCAGGCTTCCTGCTGAGCAGCGAGCCGGTTGTGGGGCTCCATTCCAGGACCATGGCATCCCAGGATCATGACCTGAGCGGAAGGCAGCAGCTTAATGGACTGAGCCACCCAGGTGTCCCAAAACCCCAAATAATTCTAAAGCAGGAAGTTCCTGCTTGCACCCAGCTCTGAGAAACCTGTACCCCTTGCCATCCAGGATCTCCGAGGGGTCTGTGCCAAGCTTTTACCCATGGCAGGGGTCCACAAACACTGTGGGGATGAACGAAGACCCCTTTATCCCTGAGTCTGTCACGCGGGTTCCTCTTGTGGGTAATGGGAGACTTTTCTAGGCTGCAGATTGGTTGTCTTCTTAGGTTCCAGGCTGCCTCTCCCGGGTTTCACTGCTCAGGCAAGAGACGTGTGAGGTGAGAGGGCACCCCTTGAGGTCTTGGCAGGGGCCTGGGGCTGCACCCACGTTTCCAGACCAGGTTGGGGCTCCCTTTGGCTAAAGTCATAGAATGGAGCCCAGACCCCAAGGCAATGTTTCTCAACCTGTGGCCCAACCACTTCAGAATCACTTGTGTTATTTGGCAAAAATGCAGATTCCTGCCACCCAACCCTGCTTTATTGAATGAGAATGGGGGATGGTGGGATGGGGGTAGTGTGGGGACAGGGTCCAGAACTCTGCATTCTTAGCTAGCACCCCAGCCAATTCTTTTTTTTTTTCCTTAAGATTTTATTTATTCATTTGAGACACAGAGATACAGAGAGAGAGAGAGAGCGTGAGCCGGGAGAGAGGCAGAGGGAGAGGGAGGAGCAGGCTCCTCGCTGAGCCAGGAGCCCGATGCGGGGCTCGATCCCAGAACCCTGGGATCATGACCGGAGCCGAAGGCAGACGCTTAACCATCTGAGCCACCCAGGCGCCCCTCCCCAGCCAATTCTTAGTCATGTGAATGAGAAATCCTGCTATAGAACATGGACTTCGCAGTATCACAGACATGGGTTCAAATCTCAGCTCTGCCAAGAAATAGCTCTGTGTGTGTTGGGGGGGGGGTTGGAACTAATTCCTTAACCTTTGCGAGACTCCATTTCCTCATCTATAAGAAGTGGGTTACTATGCCTGCCATTGGTCTCTTTTTTTAAAAAAGATTTTATGTATTTATTTGATAGAGCGAGGGAGCACAAGCAGGGAGAGTGGCCGGCAGAGGGAGAGGGAGAAGCAGACTCCCCGCCGAGCCGGGAGCCCGATGCGGGGCTCGATCCCGGGACCCTGGGACCATGACCTGAGCCGAAGGCAGACGCCTAACGGCTGAGCCACCCAGGCGCCCCTGACCATTGGTCTTGCTGTGAGGATTGGCTCAAACCGTGAGGGGACCTGGATACACAGCTGCGGGCCGCAGGTCCCCTCTGTAGCACACCCAGCTCCGCGGTAGAGAGAGGGACGCATTCACAAATGCCTTCCCTGGGAGTGGACACCCAGCATCACTCATCCAAACCCTGAGCTGCTTTAATAATTTCTGACCTTGCATTTCCTGTGGGGCGACCTCAGTGAGGCTTTTCAAAGTTGTCTAGATGGGTTCCCATCCTCAGGTGTGGGAACTCCAAGTTGGAGCCAGGTGATGTAAACAAAATAACCATTCAGTTTGGCTCCGCCTCTGTGCAAGCCTCCGTGTCCACCTCTACCCCACCCCCCCGCCCCGTTTCCCCTCCACTTGACATTCCCAAAACCCTCGCTCTGTGGGACAAAGCCCTCTTGGCAAACGGCAGGTGGGCCAGGAGCAGGGAGTCGTCTAGTCTTCCTTGCCTCGGCTCCCCCAGTCTGGCTGATCCAAAGAAATGCCAAGGCTTTTGAGAAGCTTCAGTCATTCCTAATGGGTCAGTTCCCTCCGGAAATATTCCCCAGCTCTGCTGAAAGCCTGCCAGGCGACTTGGTGACGTCCAGCTCTCGGCCCACACAATGGGCACGGGCCGAACAATGTGGAGTAGGGAAAACATCCCGCCTGTCCTTAGGCTCACATCCTCCTGGGACCCCACCCACGCCCACCCCAGGGCTCCCAGAGCTAGTGGGAGGGCCGGGGGAGGAGAAGGAGGGGTGCAGAGAGGGGGCCCAGAGCAGCTGTCGACGAGGGAAGGTGAGGAGTGGCTGCATTCTGAACCAGCTGGGCGAGTCAGATTAGAGGTCAAATCTGCTTATTCTGGCTCTCTTGCCAATGTTAGGAGCCAAGGGCTCAACAGCTCCAAGCTGGAATGAATTAAAATCCTGGCTGGCAAACAAAGCAGTTCAGAGGGCAGTGAGGCAGGTGGGCGTACCTGGTGAGAGGCCTTGCTCTGTCATTTAACTAACCATGTTAGTTAGTTTAACACCATGCAAGGTGTTAAACCTCTAGGGCCTCAGTTTCCACATCCACGGAATGGGGTCATCGTGCCTGCCCTGTCTACCTCACAGGATGTTGTCAGAGCAAAATGGGCTTCTGGGCATGAAAGTGCCACCATCGTTGCCAAGGGATTACTTGGTCACCAACTGGTGTCATGCCCTTAACAAAGCAGCTGGAGTGGGGTGGCACACCTGGGGGAGATCACACTGAAGACCACCCGGGGAGTTGAGGATCTGAACCCTGGAAAGAGACCTGACAGACGCTGGGAACCGAGTACTGAATACAGGCTGTGAGGGACGGTTGGGTGGCTCAGTCGTTAAGCATCTGCCTTCGGCTCAGGTCATGATCCCAGGGTCCTGGGATGGAGCCCCGCATCGGGCTCCCTGCTCTGAGGAGAGCCTGCTTCTCCCTCTTCCTCTGCCCCTCCCCTCTCGTGCATGCTTTCTTTCTCTCAAATGAATAAAATCTTAAAAAAAAAAAAAAAAGATTACAGGCTGTTAGACTTTCTAGATAGTTGGGCTTGGGGGTAGGACTGTTTGGAGGTGGGGGGTGTTGGAGGGCTTACCTAGAGGTCACATTTCCATACTAAGCTCCGTTTTTACTCAGGTTGTGTGTATTTGGGCGACCTTTTGGGCGACGGAGCTTATGAGGGGCTGAAACCCCCTAAGTCCTGGCATCAGCATGGGTATAGCCCAACCTGGCGCCTTCCAGAACTGAGCACATGGAAAGTGTTCAAGGAGTTGATTAAGGAAGGCTTCCTGGAAGAGGAGAGTTTGAGGCAAGCTTGAAAGGAGGGGAGAGGGAAATGACTCTTACAAAACACTAAAGTGAAAATCTGGAGCAGGGAGGATGCTCCAGGGCATTTGGGG